AGCTTGTTTTTATTTGGTGAAAGATCTTTTCCTTTTAGCTTTTTACATCATGAGCTTTCTTGCTCAGCGTATTCTTTTGTCTCCTCATCATTAAACAGAAACATAATATCCAAATATTTCACTCCATTGCTTTTACTTTTATGTCTTTAAGTTCGGCACTTAAATACGTTTACCAGACTCAGCCGAGATCTTTATCAAGTGTCTCCACAGAAAATGTTACTCTATTAACCAAGTTTACTGCTTTCCTTATCGTGCTCTTCCACAACCAGAGCCCTGTGAGATAAGATCTCTGAGCCACGGCCAGAGAAGAAGTAGCTGGTCAAACACACTGTGATGTATCACCTGTGTTAACAATGGAATTAAAGCTGTGTGTTTCTCTGCACAGTCGCATGCAGATTGGATCACTTAGTGATCTTGAAAACAGCTTTAGGTATCGTTTTAGTCAGACTATACAGATGTTTTGTATTTTTGATATCATATAACTAGCGAGCGTCCTGCACAGTCATCGTTCCACATGGGCAATAGTGAGGTTTTCTGGGGATCTTCAGGGACAGACAGAATTGACCCTCATGCAGCAAAGGAAGGTCAGTCCAACACAAGAGGAGCTTCAGATTAATGACCAGGGGCGGTGACTCTCTGTGGGCCTTCATGCATCATGTCCCATTCACCGCCAAACATGTCAGGGAGTGCCCCCACCGGGAGTTTGGGGGATATTTACGGAGCATTTCCATCACTTTTGCCCCTTGCCAATTGGCTCTGAGCTCTGATCCTCACAGGCTGAAAGACGCAGGGAGACAGAAACAGGCCGGGGTGTTGTTGGGGTGTGGTGGGTGGGGGTCTTTAAGCCTATAACTGAGTGTCTTCATGCGCGTACCTGGGCCACTGCCCTAGCTCGCTGGTTGCTCGCTGGTTGCCATGGCACCCACCCTACAGCTCACCGCCATCCTGCAGCTGCGCTGCTGGTCATTAGTCACTCAGACAGGCCGTATGCACTATCACAACGCCCTTCCTCCTCCAATCAGCCTCTCCAAATCCAAAACTGCAGAGGACTCTCAGCTATAGAATGCTGGTAGATGCATGGGTAGCCATGGCAACATATCTGACTCTCATCTCCCCGAGTACAAGAGCATCCTTTTGTTGAGAGAGCTAATTGTGTTTTCATTCATGCTTTAGTGAGTAGGCCTTTTCTTTAAGTAGTAAATACAGTCTCCATGGGTCTAATTACAGTGTGCTGGAGTTCCAGATATATAATATTAGTTTAATCTTTACACTGAGCTGAATATGAGCTGTAGAATATGCTTTATATCTTTTTAGTGATACTTTTTTGGTCACCTAAGCAATTGTCTTTCCATTCCTATTTCTTTTGATGCATGCCCTTCAGGGGGTTAATGATTTAAAGCAAAGAAATCATTTTAAGTTGACTTAATGTTTGTCAAATTTTTTTGCTTTTGGCCATGTTGTTTTATAATTTTCCATCCAAAATGCATTTAAGCAAATATTAAAACAGGAATACAATTTGCAAAGAGGCACTACCTCCCACACTGCTTCATCATTCCCACTTTCTGTACAGGCTTCTCTCTCTCTCTCTCACACACACACATTTTACACACACTTACACAAACACACACTAAGAGTCTCAGATCAACGGGCCTGTTTCCTCGTCGGGGTGATTATCCAGCTCATAACTCACTGAGAGCTTTCGCTTGCACTATAATTCACACCAATCCCAACGATGGCAGCTACATAATTCACACGCACACTGATTATCTACGCTGTAACTCACACACCTGCAATCAGACGGACCACAACACCCAGCAGTGGGAAGAGGATGGACAGATAGATTACATAACTGAGCGCTTATGGACATTAAGCAAAATGCATTAACAATAAACTTTATTTAACTTTTCCTTCATTGAGATAACTGTTGAGTCAACTAAATGAGTTCCTCAATCAAGTTCACACCAGCCTAACTCACTGAACATTTTCATAATGAATTTGAATGTTTCCATGTATTGTATCTAATCCTATTGTATCGTATTGAATCATGTCATGCCGTATTATGTTTGATCATTTCTTAGAGATTGTATCTAGAGACTGGACCGATCTAATCTAAAATCGCTATCGGGTCCGATATTGACGTAATTTACATTTCAGATATCAGACTGACGGCACTGATCCATGACACCATTTTTTTTAGCATTATTACGTCTTAACTTGTTGTATCATGAGGTATTTTATCACATTGTTCGATATTGAATGCTGTTAAATAGTTTATATCTCGTCTTATTATGTCATGTCTTCATATTGTATAATATCTTGTTTTGAAGGCATCATATCCGTAAATCCTCTGAATACATTCTGAAAGTCACATGTTGGAGCACTAAATCAAAAACCAATAGAAACAACATTTTTTTTTCAGTGTGTGATCATTTCATATTCATTCTTTTGTCATCTCTTTAGAAATCTGAAGTGACCCCTTCTAGGTCTTAATTGAATGTTTCCTCTCTGTGTTCTCCAAGGTATATGATTTCCTTTTCTTTAAACCAGCATGTGCAGTGTGCCAAAAGGAAATCTGATGAGCATAACTTAATACCATTCTGCTCCTTTTCAAACTCTTGAACGAGCCAGCGGAGCTCAGTCTGCTCCCTCGGGGCAATAGAATAATAATTATCTATTAGGTCAGGCTGACATGATTCCAATCATCTTTAATGGTGAATCTCGGCTATTCGTTCCTTTTGGAGATTAATGTGCCATTTTGGTGAAATGAAATGCCATGAATAGCAGCATGTTCACATCACACTGCTGCGTTTCAGGAGGATTGACACGAGAAAGTCTAATTATGAGAGCTGGCAGAGTGACATTGAACGACTAAGATATACTGAGTGAATAAGTCTGTGCTGCACTATGATCTCGTATTCTCTGTCCCTTCAATTCAACAATCATCCGTTGGACTTCAAACATGTAGATATAATAGAAACAGCCATATCATATAGTAGATGTACTGTGGTGACAGTGATAAAGCTCACTTCCTCAAGTTAATGACATCTTCTGTGCCCTCCTCTACTTCCTCTCTATCACTCCCTGCCATGGCTGTAGCTGCTATTTTTGGCCTCCCTGTCTATTATTGTACATCTCTCCCTTTTTTCTCTCCTCCTTTAAAAGTGCGTCACTCTCTCTGTCTTTTTCTCTCTCAGTCTCACTTTTTTTCCATTTGCACTCCGTAATTGAATCGATAAACAGGCTTTAAACTTTTTTTTTTCTCCAGGATTTCGTCAAACTGGCTCTCTGTCCTTAGAGAGGACAGGAGCCGTGGTCAGACTGCCGAACTCTGCTCTCCACGCTCAATGTGGGTTTTTTTTTTCTCTCCTGTTTTTTTTTTTTTTTTTTTCAAAGCAGCTCTCACAACCTCCTTTCATCTTTTTTTTTTCTCTCTCCCCTCATCCATTCTCTTTCAAGTTTTTATTTCTGTAAAAACTTTCTCAGGGTTTAGTACCCCCCTTTAAGGCGTACTTTTTTTTGTCATGTTTATTTGAAAGTTGAAAGAGGTTGCTTGACTCTACATCAGTTTCACGTACAGATCTTCACTCTGGATGTTTAACATGCTATATTCTGCAGAAGTGATTCCCAACCTTTTGCCCTTGGATATGTGCAAATCTCATTTTTTTTAACCTCAGAGCAGACCTTGGGTCCGGCACACCCAGAGATTTCAGGCGCCCCCTCTAGGGGGGAAGGTTGAGAACCAATGTCCTACAGCACATTTAGCGTCTATAACATGACTTCTACTAATGATGGATGTGTGAAAATACTGTGTACACTCTCACAGGTCCCATTTAAACCTGACATCCTCAGTCCTGGCTCACTGCAAACTGCTTGCAGATGAGATATTGAAAGATTTGCCAAAACACACGAAAATATGATTGTGACTGCAACATGGAGCCAAATGTATTATCTTTCTTTTTTTCTTCGTAATTGTCAAATGGTGGCAGGAAATGTATTTCTTGACATAATTTCTAAACGAGGCCCATTTGTCTGGGCTTCGTTTTAGGACTCGGCACAACTGTGACGCACCATCTGGAGCTTTAATGGTTGTTGTTCAGCTCAACATAATTGACAAGTCTGATGGGAGCTGTTTTAAGTCGACAACACCTCACTCGGTGCGGTTAATGATTTGGTCTCGCATTTTCGGCGTGGCAAAATGCCGTGAGTTTGTTCGGTTGTCTCTTTGAGGCTTTTATCTTTGTCAATTACTGAGGAATCATAAGGTTTTTGTCCCTCTATGAGGTAAAAATAGTTTTTAGGCAGGCACAGCATGAATCTCCCATCAGGATGCTCTTCTGTTGTAATTCAAAGAAGTATGAAAATGTGAACCTCTGGGTCGATATGTTCTAAATTAGTGTTATTTAAAAAAAATGTAAATGTTAACTCAATTTCTCACTTGACTTCTCCTTCACAACCTCTGTCTTCTTTTCTTCCTTCAACACTTATAATATGTTTTCTGATTTTCCAATGGCTTAGATTATTTCTATGTTTTGCTTTCTGCTCTAATTTCTCCGCTCCCTACGTTCCCTTTTCTTTCCTCTTCTTTCCTCTTACTTGAGAATCACTGAAGTCAATGGGACAAAATTGAAGTGTGAACCTTTCTATCAAAGCGGAGCAGGGGAGTTAAGGAAGGGCAGCCACCCCTGAACTCACCTCCCCACGCAACTAATTGCCTATAATTACACAGACGACTGCCACAGAATGCAAATCAGATGAGATCCGATGGGCCAATCCTTATTGTAAATCTCTTTTATGTCAGTGTGCGGCCGCGCTGTGGTAAGCACACAGCATCGATAATATGAGGGAACACTGGAGTGGTAAAAACGATAGCACGGCTTGAACTGCAATTTCCAGCATCATATTGATCATTAAACTGAAAGTCACTTGTGTTAAGGAAGCTATTGCAATCACAGCAGGAGGAAGTGTTTATTCAGAGGTCTCTCTCTTTTTTTTCTCCTCAGGAGGAATATTTGAATCCATTGAGAGCGGCCCCTCCGGGGCAGAGGAACTCGCCTTTAAATTTGCCTTGAACACAATCAACAGGAACCGCACCTTGCTCCCCAACACCACCCTGACCTATGACATCCAGAGAATAAACATCTTCGACAGCTTTGAGGCCTCAAGGAAAGGTGAGTCTAAGTAGTAGAAGGGAAGGAGATTTTGATGAAGCTGATCATGACTGCTGTTTTGCATCAAATTGTTTTTTTCATTTTCTAGACGTGTTAAATTAAAACTTATTCCGAAAAGAACAAATAAATGTATTCCTTATTTGGCTGACGATAGAAAACAACTGCGCTCAAATCATTCAATATCAAATGAATACATTCAAAAGAACTCGGTCACAATATGTTCCTGCGAAACCAATTTAAAAGTCTGCTGTTGACTGTGTGCTTTAACAGCTCACAGATTATGTAAATTGAACATTAACTAGCAAAGACTGGAGAGAAACACAGAAAGTCAATAAAGACAATCACATTCTGTGTCTGAAATAACACTCATTAAATATACAGCGCACTCTATTCATGTTTTCTATTATAGCAAATCTTCCCACAATTTTCTTAAACTCCTTTGTGTGAACAGAAGAGAGTTAGAGGTATATAATAAAGTATAAATAGTATATAAAGAAGGAGGATTAAACATCAACCAGACTACTGAAATCCTGGGACAGTTTCATACAGGAGAACAGTCATCATACTTATATAGTATGTCTACAGGGAGAGACACTGGGGCAGCAGTCACTCAGTCTGTAGGGACTTTGGTATGGAACCGGTCACCCTCTGGTTCCCAACCCGAATATGGAAGTGGTCTGGTTGCTGGAGAGGAGCCAGGTCACTTTCCCGAGTACTTGCCGAGGTGCCCTTGAGCATATACTGCAAGGCACTGAACCCCGCAGCAGCGCTGTTGCTGTCCCTGCGTAGCAGTGTGTAGCAGCCCCGCTCTCACATCTCTCCATTAATGCATGTCCACAGGTCCTGTTTTGTTGAGAAGCATGTCTCTCAATAACAGAGTGTAAAAGCAGAATTTCCCTCAGGGATTCATTAAAAAAAAATTATATAAAATTGAAAATTAAAAACATGCTTAAAACTCAAGCATACAAAATGATGCTCTAAAATAACACTGGATATAAAATAATCAAAATATTTCTACATTCCAAAGATGGAAGAGCAATGCTTTCCGCTATAAATCGAATATACAATTTAAACGTAAAGGATACAAACATTACAGCAGCACTACAGCTGTCAGTGATTGCAGCACATGATGAGGATTAATAAGTGCCCGAAATCTCAATTTACTGCTCATTACTTAGTTACCTATTCAGCGCTTATTTATTGAGTAGCAACACATGAGAAGACAAGGCAGTGATTTTGGAGTAAGTCGATTAAATTGACCCCATTTTAAATGTAAAACGGTCTTAACTGTCATTACAGTGTATTTTAAATCAGTCAACAGGTATACCAAAATGTTTAGTACATTTCCTTTCTCATAAATCCTTTAAGAAAGTCGGGTCCTTTGGTTTTAATTTTGAAACCTGCAATTTTACAGCCACGTTTTCCTCACTGGCCAATTGCTTCTGACCTGCCTATACTTACAAAGTGGTGCTTTTTTGGCAACCTACAGCTGCCACAGACAAGTGGACATTCGTACCACATTACCTGTGTACTAAGTGTGGATGAATAAAAAAAACTGAACTGAACAGCTACATTTAAAACTGATCTATTTCTTCTTTTTCTCGCTTCCCTTCCAGCATGTGACCAGCTTTCCCTCGGCGTGGCGGCCATTTTTGGCCCCTCACACAGCTCGTCTGCCAATGCGGTCCAGTCCATCTGCAATGCTCTGGGAGTGCCCCACATTCAGACCAAGTGGAAGCACCAAGTATCCGACAACAGAGACTCGTACTATGTCAGCCTGTTCCCAGACTTCTCGTCACTCAGCAGAGCCATCCTCGACCTGGTGCACTTCTTCAAGTGGAGAACCGTCACTGTTGTCTACGACGACAGCACAGGTACAGGTACAGTCAGTGTCTGTCTTTATCTTCCAGTACTGCCTTGCTTTCTATTTTGCATGACGAGTGTGATGATGTTCAAAACCTGCAGCCTTTCACGCCCTCAAAATGGCACCAGGTGAACTAGAAAAAAGGAGCGCTGCTGCTGCTCCGAGTTCAGCTAGTGCTTTGTAACCTGTCAAGTTAATTCAGAAATCAATAGCTTACTGTTCTGCCTCAGTCCTGCAGGTGCTGCCCATGTCAGTCTTCCAGGAGAGTGAGCAGCAGCAGAGGAAAAGAGAGAACCATGTTACCCAGAATGACCCAATGTCTCTTCAGATTAATGCAATGCAGAATTGTAGTATGTGGGGGCCTGACAAGCGACATTAATAACACAGAGAGACACTTGATCTCTGAGGGTGGCTATCAAATGCGTCTGCGAGCCATTTCGGATGTCCTGTGACTTTGTGGAGCGGCGCTTAATATACGTTTTAAAAGGCGAGGCGTATTTTAGCCGGAGTGAAGTGATATTTTTATGAGGCAAAGCATAACCACTCCAGAGAGATAACAATATTCAAATTCTTTCTTGCGATTTATGAACCATTTGGGATGATGTGGATGACAACTTAATGTAAGTAAATGAGAAAGAGTTGCGAGGAGGTTTTAGACAGGTTGTATAATGAATTCACTCCCTGAGCGGAACAAATGAGTGTTGTCGTTGACAATCATAAATTGTGCGGCTGAATAGAATCCCCTTTTAACCCTTTTCTGTTCTTTCTTGTCAAAGTGTGGTAGTTTTACTGCTATTTCCCTTCGTGTACTTTGAGAGCAGGTGCATTCATTTCAGTAAATCCTGCTTCAACTCTGGGATAACCTCGGATGTTATGCCTGTGACTCGTCCCACTTGCCACATTTTTCTGACTCATCTCCTTGACCTCTCCTCGCTTCCTGCCTTGGAGCTCTGTTACGTTAACACCCTCATTCTCCTGCAAACTGCCCCTGTGAGATGCCAAAAGGTAACCTCTCACCTCTCTCCCTGTCAGATAGGAGCGGCTCAAGCCTCCTCAGCGGACCAGTGCCGCTGTAACACACCTGACGCCCTGAAAAGTGTGACAGCTGCATCACTACATTGCTATTCCCCCCCCTTTCCCTGCTTCCACCTGGTCCCAGGCTGTAATCACACAGCTTCATGCTCCAGGGCCCCGCGCTGCTGATTGGAGCCTATCTGACGGCTGGCAGGAAAAACTATCGGAGGGTATAAAATATTCACACACAGCCGTTAGAGGATCCAGGGGGAAAGTCTGAAGGCATTAGCTAGATCCCCCAAACATCCACGCTGACAGAGTTTCCCAAACGTTGAGCTCCCTTGACAGATATTTTTTTTCGTGCTTAACACCTCCCAAAGTGTCAGTTTGAACAAAAACAGGGAGTCGCGGACATGCCCCAGAGTAGGGATCTATTGGGATTACCTGAGGAAAGCTCTTGGAGGTTCAGTATTCTCTCGACAATGGTGCTTTTCACAACAAGACCTGCATGTTCCTATTTCACACCAATCTTTCTGTAGGCCGCAGGGAGACCTGGCCCCACTCACAGTAAGACCATTAAACTGCTCACCCTGCACTTCATTTCAAAATAAAAAATAGGCTGAGCTATCTTAAAGTGGTTCCACAAAAAAAATCCTATCTCTCTCCAGTTCCCTCTCCAACTATCCTCGATGCTCCATCCATTTTTATACCCATGACAAGTAATCATCTCTCCCATCAATCCGGCCTCTTTCATCCCTGCACTCTGAAGTTCTTTACTGAGGGAGAAACTCATTGTAATCTCATCACAGTATCTCCCGGAGAGCTTTCTACCTGAGCGTGTGGTCGAGAAATGAAAGGTGAAGATTGTAGCTCAATATGTGACGGCCCACATCAGCTCCCCGGGGGGACAGTACAAGCTGGGCAAACAGAGCAGCTCTCATCAGAACACATCTGAAGTATGTGTGAGAGAGACCGGAGAGGCAGGATTGACCAAAGCTTTCCATCAGGATGAAATTGAACCTATTCCATGCTGCTCTATGGTATCGTGGAAGAAGCGAGAGAAACATTCGGGAGGCTTGTAAGCTTCTGTAGGCGGTTGCAGATCGAGGTTGTGTTTTGTTCTTTTTGGTAAAAAAAAAAGGGAGCAATGTGCTGGCTTGGTGTTAAATTGTCTTGATAGGTCTGAAGCAGTGTGTTTGCTTGCCAAGCATGAGTAGGAGGATCAATAGACTGAGGATTAGGAATGAATGCATATGAGCCGTTTTCTGCTGAGGAGACCTGAATCCAGTTTTGTGTCCTCCGCACCATCAGAGATACTTCAAAATGGCAGCAGATCAAACACACTGTGTTGCTGCATCTTTAAATTCCCCTTTTCACGCTATATGTATCCTCCTTTGTCTGCAGGTCTCATTCGACTGCAGGAGCTGATCAAGGCACCGTCACGATACAACATTCGTTTGAAGATTCGACAGCTGCCCACAGAGACCAAGGATGCCAAGCCACTTCTGAAAGAGATGAAGAAAGCAAAGGAGTTCCATGTCATCTTTGATTGTGGACATGAGATGGCTGCCTGGATCCTAAAACAGGTATGAACCTGGCTTGATGAGCAATTTTTTCATAGTGGAGTAGAATAATTGGAAAAAAAAAACGTAGCCTGAGGGACTGTTTAATGGCACTTAAAAGTAATAAATATAAATCTAATAAATAATGAGTAGCTAAGACATCATTAGTCATATGAATGAATACCTAACATTATACAAATTAAACAATAAGTATTATTTTATAGGCCATTTCAATATTTTTAGTCTAACACTATTGTAACAGTTTATAAAAAGTCAACCAGTTTTACCAATTCATTTTTCAACCAATAATGCTACTGCTGCTTTTGGAGCAATCTGGCTAATGTTGAAACTTGTTAGCAAAGTGATTTTGCAACTAATCAAGAGCAACACATTATCAAAATATATCTGAATTTGTTAGCTAGCTACTGCTGAAAATGAAAAACAGTGTGCACACACAGGAGTTAGAATATCTTTCTATTTACATGGTTCTACAATATTATGCATGGTTGGCTACCTACTTAGCTAGTTAAGTAGTGCAGATAAGCATCAAAAAAAGAGAAACATTGTAAGTAGTATAGCAGCAGTTAACGTTAACTAGTTATTTCAGAGTTTGTTCTAAAAAGCACTTTCATTATTAAAATCAAAGTCTCTACAATCGTTTAAAGCAACAGACGCTAGATAAAATAGCGAATAATGACTTCTTATTGATGCAGAGTTATGAACCAAGCTAACCTGGCCAGGTAAGCTATCTGGTTAGGCACCTTGACCAGCCTTGAAAGCTAAAAAGATTGTATAACTTTGTCTACGTGATGTTGTTTTAACAGTAGCAGCTTCTAACTAGTTGATTATATCAGAATAACTTGACAATGTTGTTGCTAACGGGCTACATACAAAGTTTAATTTTAATATAAAACCAACCACAAAGTGGGCACTTTCCTATTCTAACTATTATACTGTTTATATAATGAATACATAAAGTATAATTCAAAAACTGTATCTTGCCAACAAAATTATTGTCAAAATAGAAATTAAAATCAGTATATTGTGTTCTAATAATTGCTTCTGTTATTCCACAAATTGTTGGTTCATTTATATAATTGACACATTTTATGCATGTGACTATTTGTCTCATAATGTCTTTTTTTAAAGGTCAATGTGAGAACAGTCTGCTAAATTTATGGGCAAGATGAGTCATTTTATCTCCGAGCCTCCTGGATTGAATTAAAACTGAATTAACTGCAGTCCCTAAATTTACATAATGCCCCCCCCCCCCCCCCTTCACAGAAACACAGACTCACTTCTTAGTGCATGGACTCAAAGTTCATTCATAATGTATTTGAACTAAAACAACAATAAAACATTGTCTGCATCACTGTTTCTCTCTTTAAGCTCTAATGCAAATGATTCCGATTCCTCCTTCATGCCCGGCGCATCTTTAATTCCTCTGTAGAATATGAGAGCTCTACTTCTGACCCTCATAATGGATACTCTCCATCGGACAATAAAGGTTTTTTAATTAGAAAGTCTAATTCTGCTCACAGGCATGTTAAATTAATTTAACAGGGGCACATAATTTATGAGAATCGTGGGGGGTTCTTATTGAATTGAAGTCTTCTCAAAGGCACAGTGCACTGTTTGATTTATCTATACAGCTGTGTGTCTACAGGAAGCAACAAGGAGGATAATATATTGAAGTGAAAACTCAGAAGTAATAACAAAATATATACCGCATGTCAACAGTTCAGTGCAGTGCCTGTTCGTGCAATACTTCCTTGTATTCAAAAAGAAATTGATTAAGTTAAAGAAATAATTGCAGGAATATTGACATTGGAAAGTTTATATATGGTTTATTTTTTGCCTTTCGCATTGAACGGGGAACTGTGAAATAAACAAGCTCACATCCATACAAACAACACATGTTGTGTGAACATGTTCTAATAAAAAAATATTTTTGGAAGCTACTTTAGGTGTGTCATTTTGAGCTTTTTTGTGAGATGTTGAATTACTTGTTTCAGCCTTTTTATTATTGGCTATGTGTAGTTAGTTTAGACCCCCCTGGTCTCTTGTAATGTAAAACTTTTTGAGCTGCCTCCTGACCATAGTTAGAGCGGCTTCACTGGTTAAACAAAGATTAAATAAAGAGCTTAATGAAATAGATGTAGTAATAAGCGTATTAATGTTTGATTTTTTTCTAAGCACTCGCTGTTCTTTTCTCCCTGTAGGCCCTGGCAATGGGTATGATGACGGAGTACTACCATTATATTTTCACTACCCTGGTGAGTTTAAGAGCACTTGTATTTATCTTAAAGAATGAATTTCTATTTCTAGACTGATTGAAGTAAAAATGTTAACCTCCTCTTCCTTCCCGGAAAGCAAAAATACATCAATCTGTGTGATTGTTTTTCTTTTCTGAGAGTCAAATTAAATACGACACATCCTGAAGCCAGTCAGATCAAATTATTTTCATTTTGTGCAAGACGTTTTAACCTGAACTACAACCAGAATTAGAGTTATAAATAAATGTCCTTGAAAAGCTGGCACATTGTCATCGGCTTGTTTATAAATATACTCTCTTTGTTTTAAGGTATCAGGTGTGAAACTTAGGTTTATTTTCCTGAATTTGAGACCAACCTTTTCACCCCGCCTTGCTGTCTAAAAACCATGCGAGCAGGAAACAAAAGCTGTGGGATATATTTGATTCTGACTCTGGCAGTGCTTGAAGTTCTCCAAAGTTCTTTGATCTAGCCACTACAAAGATTATGTGCTATCTTTGCTGAGCCCAGAGAACAGAAGACCGAGAGCTCAGATAACAGCCCTGAGTAAATGAGACTGAGGCCCATTTGGTCCATTATAGCTCGAGCAAACAAATTGCATGCTGTGTTTGTTTGGCGCACAATTGGAAAGGCTAAGGAAAAGGTTGGAGAAAAGTGACCTGAAAACAGACAGTTACCAGTGCAAAGGACGTTCAGCTATATCTTGTGCACCCACATAAGCACCGAGCTAGATGAAAGGAAGTGAGTGACAGCAGGAATGTCATTGGGATAGGAAAGAGAGCAGTGATTATAGGGCTGTTTCCGCCGCATGCTGCTGCTTGTAACGATGGAAACATGCCTACTTTAACATCAGCCGGTGTTTGGCAGGCCACAGTGCTGGCCAAAGCTTCTGTGTACTGGTAGCAAGCCATCCGTGCCGATTTTTTTTTTCCCGAATAGGACGACAAACATTGACCGTGGCGACCTCATTCTGCGTCCATCACCTGCTGTTGCTCTGTCAACTGTGTTGTCACATCCCAGAGACATCTGCCTGGTGAGATGCCAGAGATGCTGTATGCAGCGGACAATTGGGTTGTCCTTTCACTTCCACATGATAGATGGCAGTCTACCAAAAGCCTTCCTTTAACCTTGAAAGGCTTTCCTTAATCATGGCTACTGCCTCAGCATGAAATAAAATAACTCATGAAGCACCTTCAGCTGCCCTCCTCTGCCCTCATTTATTCTGATAAAGCTGCCACTCAAATGACGACTCTAATTATTGAGGACAGATCGTAGACAGTGCATACATGCTTGAGACCTTCATTCTTTCTAATGGCCAGCAGGTGGCAACTCAATTATTGGCTTAAAAAGCAGACTGATTTTTGGTGAGTCTAAGAAAGTTAAATGATTTATTACATATTAGCAAACATTTTCCTTGTAAGTTTATGGTCTAAACTGCTATGTTAAATTCTCCCATTATACAGTCTCATGTTCATTTTTAAATGGGGTTAATGCTTAAGGGTCTGGCTAGCATGGCATTGAGAAATCACTAGAATGTTAATCTTAAAAATGCTTGTGTATCATTTAGGTGTACTTAAACATGCTGAAGAGTCTGTTATAAAATATTAGCAGGAGCTATAATTTGCTTAAGGCTTTACTCAAATTAGCATACAAATTCATATCACAGTCACCGTAAATAAGGGATGCAACTTGCTAACCAAGCTAGCAATATTTATCGATTTCATGTTATTTATCTTGGGACAAGTATAGAGCAGTAAACTGATGACACACACTACAACACTTATGAAGCTAAACCTAAGCTAATTTACAATTCCCGTCCATAGGTGGGCCTTTAAAATACGTAAAATTCCATAACAAATACCTAAGCGACAGAACAAACCAAACTCAACAATAAAACAGACGGACCAGTACGAGATACAAAATGAGCTCAACACATCATCTATCTCCAATTTCTATTCAAATTTGTCGCTTGTGTTACTCAAAAAGAATTAAGATGGCGACAGTGAAAATGTTGAAGGCCCACATTAGCTCCCCAGGGGGGGACAGTACAAGCTTGTTCGTTGGATACCTCCACTTTTATACCGTCTATGAGAAAGATGCAACATGACCCATATTTAGTTGCACACACATAATGGTACATTCATTTATCAGCAGCACATCTCAGCATTCATACTTCATCTTTGTGTCTGCAGGATCTTTTTGCCCTTGACATGGAACCATACCGCTACAGTGGAGTCAACATGACCGGGTTCCGCATCCTCAACACAGAAAACTCTCAGGTGTCGTCAATCATCGAGAAGTGGTCAATGGAGCGACTGCAAGCTCCGCCCAAACCGGACTCTGGTCTGCTGGATGGATTCATGACGGTAGGCAGCCAAAACCCTCTTAATGCTGCTTACGTAACACACATGATGTGCTGTGTTTGCACATGCTCAGAGCTATTATTCATTTTTATTTGCCCAAATGACCAAATCAATCGGAGGCCATAACATAACAGCATCTTGCAGCGTTGCATGCCGCAGGCGCTTGTGTTTATATAGAGTGATCTTTATGAAGCGAGGTGACTGTAGATGGAACAAAAGAAATCAATGCTGTGAAATATACAATAGTTTGAGAGGATGAATGAATGAGCACCAGTTGTCAATCACGAGCCCCATGGTGCAAGGGCTCCTGGGGAGGGCACGGGAGCAGCATGAACGCCCCTCTGAGTGGAGCGTTCAGGTTGGAGCTCCTGGGTCTAAATGTTCAGTAATGAGCCAGTGTGAATGGTAATAGCCGTTTATCTGCCCTCCTGCCTCTTTCAACTCTCCTCTGGGAGTGTGGCCAAAATATGACAATCTGTCAGTGTTCATGCAGAGAGAGGGAACAAATTGGATGGAAATTATGGCCTTGGTTTTTTTAGGATGGCTTCCAAAAACGCATGGGACGAGGTGATTTGAAAGTGAAAAAGGGAACGCGGCTCGTCATGGACATTCAAGGTCCCTCTCTGTGGGTCTGTTGTTGTAAACAGTCAATTTACTCCACCTCCCTCGCAACACCTTCCTTGCAGACAAACACCTCCTCCCCCCCCCCCTTCTTGCAGCCAGCCTTTTCTTTCTTCTTGCCAAATTGAAGACGTGGTATCAGGAATCGGTGCAATGAAAGAAGTGTCTTTAGATCAAAGACTCAAGGACACACCTTTGAATTAGGTGCCTATTCATACATCCATCCATCACAGCCTTAATTGGTGCCTAGACATGACAAAATGGAAACAAAATCAGTATTCAAAATCTAATTATATATTCTTTACTTTCCTAAACAAATCCACATTACTATACTAAAGTGTAACTTTAATGCAAACATTGCAGTTCATAATATGACACATCATATTTTATCTCCCTCAAACAAACAGCATCTGTTTACCATCGTCTCTCCAACGCACAAACAAGGACAGCAGTTCTATATGCAAAAAAGATAAATGCGTCGTACAAAGTGGTTAAATCACTTAATTTGTTTCCCTCCACCGGAAATTAATGGAAATTAGTGCAGAATGCTGGATTGATTAATTACAGTGCATGAATCACTTTGTCAGATATCATTCTACATATTGACATATCTCACTGGACTAGAACCAGCGTTAAAGAATAAATTATGCATCCAAAAGACTCCAGCGAGCTTGATAAAGCACTTCATTAGAGTGCTCTATTTATGAATCCCAGCTCTGATGCGTTTTATTCTTCAGAGGGTTCCACCCTAAGAGGATTCCTTTTAATGAGTGAATAGAGAAATAGCAGCACAAGTATAAAAACATTGTCATTTTAATTGTATAATAAAAGCGTAATGGGGCAGCTGGTTATTTTTAAAACAATAGCCCGTTCCTACATTATAAATGTATGGCTTAAAATAATATTGGGTTTCTCTACAGCTCCAATGCGTTTAATTAATTTGCAGAGTTGCCTGACATTTATGCCACGGTGCTCTGGGCTCAGGAGCCACCGTGAAGGGTATCATTAGATTAAAGAGTAAGTGTGTGTATGTGTGTGTTTGGGGGGGGGTGCAGACAGTGTGTGACCTTCCACCCTCCCACGACCCCTCCCTCCAGCCTTTTATTTCGTCTCGCACACACACACACACACACCCTGCTCTTATTCTCTGCATCACCAGATCCTCAGGGCTTGTTTGAGCTCAGTGACCAGGCAACAGTTGTGTAGCAATGGTTACCAGGACAACGCCGGCCGTGTCACCTTGTGATTTCATGAAGGATTGATTGACTCAGATGTAGGGAGGAGGGAAGGTGAGCTACTGGTTGCTTGTAGGAAAGAAAAAAAAAAGGGGGCTTTAATGAGGAAGCGGAGAAAAAGATAGGGCGATGGGGGAGGATGTTGGGAGAGTAAAGAGGTGCATGTGATGTTTTCTCACGCCGCTAGGCCGGCATTAATGCAGGGCGGTGTATAATCACAGTGACACTGGGCGCCTTGGGTGAGGCCGAGTGTTGTCACGGGGAAGGATGCATAATGAGAAGTCCCTCTTTTGCAGCCACAAAACACTTGGTCCCCTTCTTCTTAACTCTGTTTGTCAGAGGTATCTCTGATGTGGAGGGCTGCCGAATCAGAGTAAGGATGCTAATTAGTGGGGCGCGTGCGTGTGTGGACGTGCGAGTGTGTAACCCCAGAGTCATTTCAGCTCAAACATTGGGAACCCTTCCATCTTCTTGAGAATTAATAGAAAGTCGACCAGAGGTAGAGACTAACATCCTGTTTAATAATAAATGTATAGACAGAAAGAGAGAGAGAGGAGAGAGAGAGAGAGAGATAGATAGATAGATAGATAGATAGATATACATACATAGATACTTAGATATGCTAGTCTAGTGGTTGGTGCTTGCAGAGGCGGTTGTCCTCCCAGCAGGCGGCCTGGGTTGAAGTCTGTCCTGTGGTTCTTTTCCCGCATGTCGTTCCCCAATCGTCTCTTCTCTATTTCTGACTCTATTCACTGTCCTATTTCTTCAAATAAAGGCATGAAAAAAGCCCCCAAAATAAACCTTTAAGATAAAATAAAACAGAGATACAGACATACATACAGACATACATACATACATACATACATACAAACATACATGTACATATACAGACATATGTACATACATGTACAAACATGCATGTACATACATGTACATACATACATGTACATATATATACATACATACATACATACATACATACATACATACATGTACATACATACATGTACATACATGTACATACATACATACATGTACATACATGTACATACATACATGTACATAGATACAGACATACATACATACATACATGTACAAATATACATGTACATAGATACATACATACATACATACATACATGTACATACATTACATACATGTACATACATACAAACATACATACATATATACATGTACATACATGTACATACATGTACATACATTCATACATACATACATACATACATGTACATAGATACAGACATACATTCATACATACATACATACATGTACATACATACAAACATACATACATATATACATGTACATACATACATACATACATACATGTACATAGACACATACATAGATAGTGTCACACCTGATCTTAGTGTTTTTGTCCTATTTTTCTGAACTACTGCCTGCAGATAATATGATATTTGTTTTATTGTTTAGATTTGTATCCTTTTTAATCCCCGTTTACTGAGTCAAGTATACACTTGGATTTAATCGAGGGTGAAACAAAACCTATTTCCCAGTTGAACACCTTACTGAGGCTTTAGGGCCCGATATTTTCTACATCTGCATCATTTCATTTATGTCTTCATTTCAGTGAGCTATAATTACCACAACAGAAGGACGGGATAATCTCCTTTGTTTAAAACACAACTGAAAATATTGGTGTAATCGCTCTTAATAATCACTATTAGAGAGCAGTTGTTTGGGGTAATGCATCTGGTTAGATTGGGCTGCTCCTCTAAATTCACACAGGCCCCTTTAAAAATCACGTTTTACTGCGGCTAATTGAAAACACAACAAACACATTAAAACAATCTAATGAGAGCAAACTTATACACCGCCGCAGAAATATCCTAAAGCAAAGACGCTTAACTTCAAATCAGCTCAAGAACATGCACACACAGCAAACTTTCCCAGGATGCTGTAAGTAATTGCTAATGACAATGATTTAAAAGCAACAGCGCAGCATTTATCCCCCCGAAAAACTGTGAATTTCTTTTTTTTTCTTCCTCTTGAATCGCTGTGCAGTCATAAAAACGCTGATTAAAAACTGATTTTGATGACATACAGATAATTAAAGCGGGAAGGGGTGAGACAAAAACAATACAGTGAAGTATTTCTTTAATTTAGGTCATTCTTAAGGTTTTATAAACACAGGCTCTGTGAGAGCCTCTGTGTATCCTCCTTAATGGCACGCTGCATTTCCCCAATGGGGAGCAAATACATGACAGGAAATAATGCCTTGTCCAATTATACCAAATCTGCAACATGGAAACTGTGATGTGCGACATGACAATCTATCCAGTAATCCTGACACATTCCACAAACCAAAACAAAACCATGACCCTTGTGAGTATTTTGAACAAGAGCCACTAGGGGTGTGAATATGTCAATATCTCACATTGGATTTATTTCTTATTTGTCACAAAGGAGTGCTTATTTAAGGATTTACTCTGCTGTGCACTTTACTATTTGAGAGTGTCACATCATTATCGGATATTAAAGTCACAATGAAATTGAACTTTGAGAGTATCTAACTATGCCGTGTTGTGACGTATTTCCAACTGAAACTGGAAAAAACTAATCACAAAATAGAAGACAACACATAACATAGGGATTCATTTGATGATTATATATCTCAAGCCTGAATGGTTAACGCCGCCGTGATGTGGGCTCGGGGGGCAATTCAATCGTTCTCAGAGTATACTTCACTTTCATGTTTCAGACTCTGCATATTGAATACGTTCAGTCAGGCTTCCTCCTACCCGCAGGATTATATAATCCACAGAGGGTTAAAACTGGACAGGCTGAATGTCTCATCTGCTCCATAGACAGTACAGGCAGTCCGTTAGTATGTCGGACACAGCCATACAGTACCAACGCTGAGAGCTAACTACTGTTAGCAGCGCGGCTAACGAGCCACACAGCCTGCTGCATAGGAAGGAGGAAGAGGTTGGACCGCAGAAAATGCCAGCAGCGGGTTTGCCGTGGACAAACTTACTGCTGGTGAAAATTTGCTCAGGGCGAAATAAATTAGGTTTAAAAACTAGAAAAGAGGGACATTTTGAATCGATTCAGAATCTTAGAAATGAATTAATGTGAACCTGACGCAAATCGATTTCCTCCCAC